AAGATGTCTCCAGAGCATCACAAGGGAGGTAGTATGATTAGGGCCAGAAGGCTTGAAGTATGGAGAAGAGGAATAGACACTTTGGGTGTCCACTTCTGCCTTGCTACCTGACCCCTAGCCAGGGAAGGGAAGCCAGTCTGGACCAGATGGCCTGAAATCACGGAAAACACCATCGTGGCCACACGTCCTTGGGTCGCATCCCTCCTTACTAAGGCCTGCAGGTACCATGCCAAGGCCGCCAGTGTATCTGGCAGAGGAACATGCCAGCCAATGGCAAGTGCCAGGAGGAGAGGTTCCCTCTTCTCTAGCAGGACATACGTGGTTCTGGCTGAGTTTCTTGGCACTGAAGTCAGAGAAGCCCCCAGGCAGAGGGGGTAACGTGGCAAGGGCACAGCTCTGGCCCATCCAGCCCAGCACATATACTCTCACCTTCTCAGATTCCAAGGAACCTGACATCAAGGGCTTGGCAGCACCAGTCCCAAGCTCATGCCAGGCCCTGGCAAGGTTCTCTAGATCCACTTAACCCAGGGGATGGGAGTAGGGTAAATAGGAGGAAGAAATGTGGCTGGAAGAAGGAATCTGGCTCAGATGGTTGGATTGTAAAATTATTGATTTAGAACTGAAAGGGTACCTTCTAGGCCACCAAATCCAGCCACCTCATTTTACAGATGAGGAAACTAAGGCACAGTTAAGTGACTTGCCCAAATTCACTCACAAGTCACTCCTGCCTCATGCATTCTGCTACCAGTTGGTTTTCTGAATGACTGTAAGAGTGGGAAAATTGAATAATGAGATTTCTGTTTGGTCTGAAAAATGTGGCAAAATTGTCATTCTAATAATGACATCATAGTGGCAACTAATCCCATTTGACCAACACTGACCACACTGGAACCAATGAGCTAGCACCATGCAAATAACTCCAAGGCCACTGTGTACCCATTGGTCAAATTTCCAGGAATATCATTTCCCCACTTTATTCCCCTCTTTCCCTACTCACTTGAATGACAGAGGCTTAGTTCCCTTTCTGTATTCCTCGCCAAGGTAGTGAGCTCCTTCTGAAGGTAAACTGCCCCCAGTGTAATTTTGATACCAAATCTCGGCTGAACATTTCAGATGAAAATCCTTTAGGAATTGATTCAAACTTAGAAGACTAAGAGCCCTTCCCCAACCGGTAAATGGCCAAAAGATATAGGCTATTTTCAAAACATCAAATCCAGTTTATCAATACTGTTCCAAACCACTAACATTAGAGATATGAAAACCAAAGCAACTCTGAGTTTCCACCTCACATCCATAAGATCTGCAAAGATGACAAAAGAGTGTAATGATAAGTGGTGGAGGGGCTGTACATTCATACACTGTTGGAGCTGTGAACTTGTCCAGCCATTCTGGAAAGCAATTTGGAACTACAACCCTACTGTATTCTACCGTATACCCCTTGACCTAATTATGCCACCCCAAAGAGATCAAAAAAGGAGAAAAAGGACCCATATGTATAAAAATACTTATAGCAATTCTTTTCATAGTAGCCAAAATTAGAAACTTATTTGGCCACCTATTGGGGAATGGCAAAACAAACTAGGATATGAATGTAATGGAATAAATATACTCATGTTGTGAGAAATTATGAAATGGACAGTTTGGGAAGCTACTGTTCATAGACCTCTATGGACTGGCATAGGGTGAAGTAGGCAGAACTATTATTTATACAATGATAACAGCACTATTGAGAAAAACAACTTTTAAAAACCGTGGAACTCTTATCAATGTAATAATAAATCATGAGTTCAGAGGCTTAAAGATGAAATATGTCACCCATCTCCTGCCAGAGAGGTGATAGACTTAAAGTGCAGAATAAGATATACATTTTTGGACAAAGTCAATGTGGGGGAATTTGTTTTGCTGGAATGTGCATATTTATCATGAGTTTTTTTTTAATTATTCAATTGAGGAGGCAGTGGGAGAGAGTGATAATGAATGGTTATAAAATGAATAAATTAATGAATGAATAAACAAAATAAAAAATAACTTTTGGGGTGGAGGCTCAAGATGTTTGAGGGCTATAAGGTAATTCATGGTTAACCACGGTGGGCTATACAGTAAGCTGACCTATGGTTTGGAGGTTACTAGGGCCTATGAAGACCCAAGACCCCAGAATCGTCTGTTCTTCCTGGCACCTTTCTCTTTTTTTTTGTATTGCCAGGCACTGAGGGCATTATTAGGACAAAAAGTGTGTGTGTGTGTGTGTGTGTGTGTGTGTGTGTGTGTGTGTGTATGAGATGCATGTGAAGAATGCTACATGGTGCTCAAAAAGTGTATCTTTTTTTTTTTGGTATGTACAGTTTGTCTTCCTCAGTTAGACTGTAATCCACTTGAGGGCAGGGAATTTTTTCACTTTTTGTCTTTGTCTCCCTAGCCATTTATTAAGAGTGCCAAAGCAGCTTAATCAATTTTTGCTGATTGAATGTATGCATGTATTTGTGTCTGGGAGTGAGTCCGGCAGAGAAGAGCCTAGACGGCTAGGATGCAGGGGCATGAAGGAGGGAATGGTGGCCATTGCTTTTTGTCGTTTAGTCATCTCAGTCATTTCCCACTCTGCGTGACCCCATTTGGGGTTTTCTTGGCAGAGATAGTGGAGTGGTTTGACATTTCCTTCTCCAGCTCATTTTACAAATGAGGAACTGAGGCAACCAGGTTGAGTGACTTGCCCAGGATCACACAGCTACTAAGTGTCTGAGGCCAGATTTGAAATCAAAAAGACTCATTTTCCTGGTTCCCAGCCAGGCGCTCTAGCCATTGTGCCATCCAGCTGCCCCAGGCTCCCTCCAAGCACTAGCCTTTAAGGACTGGACCAGGGAAAAAACTAAGGAAGACGAGAGGAAGGATGCATTCGGTATCTGTTCATGCCCACCTGATTTTAAGTACAGAAGAGGCACCATTCACAAGCATGTGTGATTGGCCGCGTGCCCAGCTTTTCACACCCACACCCCCTACACACAGTTGCACACACACGCCCGTGTCCACGCTTGGCCGAACAGGTTCATGCATGGTTGCTCCTAGAGTCTCTCTGGGCTGGCCAGTGCCCAGGCCTCCCACTGGGTATTCAGGCCCGGCTGAACTAAGGTAACTAAGGTATCAGAGCTCAGAGGGGCCATCACACTGATTTCTCCCAAGGATGCTCCAGAAGATCGGGAGCAGCAGCAGCAGCAAGACCTTCAAGGTGACTGGGGGGTTAGAGGGAGGGAACGGTGGAGGAAAGCAGGGGTGGGGACAGCAGGCAGAAGCATAACATGGATCTGGGAAGGTAGGCAAATATTAGAAGTTTCCCACCCCATGGTAGGCACCCAGAGCCCTTTCCCAGGGGCTCCTAGAAGGGAAGATGAAGTTCAAGGGGTGTGTGTGTTGGGGGGGGGGGGGTGTTGTTTGTGTGAAACCCAGCAGGCAGCAGAAGGTCATAGCCCTGAGGGCACCAGAACACAGCCTCATGCAGTGTTGACACAACTAGATTCCTGGAGCCTACAGAAGGTTCCAAATAAGGACTTTGGGGCAGCCAGGGGACCAGGGTCTGACTCCCACCCTGGCTCATCTCCCTTCCCTCTAGAAGAGAGGTTTGCCTCAGGCTAGTTAGTCCCCCAGAGTGGAGAAACCTGGGCACTGAGGGTCAGAGGTCAAATGCAACTTAAGGAAAGGAAAATTTTGCCTAAGGAGACTTAATGTCACCTTCCCCTCTCACAGGATTATAGAAAGGCTCAGTGATGCCAGAGGACAATGGCCTTTACTCTGGGGGCCAAATAACATCTGGTTCCCAGCAACTGAGGTGACTGCCCCCAACCAACCACTTCAGGAAGTGGGAGGGGGCCCAGTGGAGTCTACCACAGATCCCTGGATCTGCTGATGGGAAGCAAGGGAGAGATTTACTATTGGGGCTCTGTTCACCCCTACCTCACCACCTTTAGGGATGGACAGAGGAAAGGTGAGGTTATTGGGGCAAAAGCCTCTGTGTGTGTATGTGGATGAGTGTGAACGGTGTATGCATAGCAGGAAAGGCCAGATGGTGTTTTAAAATAGTGTTTTCTGAGTGTGTGTGTGTTTCTGTGTGTGTAAACATGTATGTGTATGTGTATGGCAAAAAAACGGGCAAAGGCCTAGGAGAACGGGGACTGTGAGGGACTAGGGTGTAGTGGACGGAAGGAGAAAACAGTGGCTACTGGCAGTACCCCCTTCCCCACTTATCCCTCCACCCCAACCCCCAGATCAGGTAGCAACCTCCAAGGACTAGTTAAGAGCAAGAATAAAAAAAGTCCCAGGAAAGCAAGGGACAGACGGGGAGCCCAGGCTCTTGGAGAAGCGTGGATTGTCAGAAAAGTAACAGCATTATCTCCCCCGGTCTTGGCAAGAATTAGAGGGTACTATTATTCCCAGGGGAGCTTTGGGGACTGGAGCTAATTAAAAAATGTGGTATGGAACTGGTTGAAGAGGTCAGCCTGAATGCCCCTGAGATTTGGAAGGAGAGACAATCTCAGCCCTAGGACTTAAGAGGAAAATGGTTGGAATGGAAAAATATCGACTGGAGTCCGGTGTGGGCACATATCCTCACTAGCAGATCCCCCCCCCCCACCTCCTCAGTTACCTCCTTTACTGCTCGCGTCCCCACCTTAATCTCCCTGTCTCTTCTCTTCTCCTCTGTCCCCAGCCACCACTGCCTTCCTTCCTCTTTCCCTTTCTCTTCCCTATCTCTATTTCCCTTTCTTCTCACTTCTCTTCCTTCTTTATTATCATCTTCCTTTTCTATTCTCCTCTACTTCTTCTTTTCTCTGCTTTTCTCTCCCCTTCCATGTCTATTCCTTCTCCTGTCTTTTCCACCCCTCTCCACGGTCTGTTAGTGTCCCTTCTCTCCTCTTCTCTGCTCCTCTCCTCTCCTCCCCTTCACCCCTTTCTCTGCCTCCCCAACTTGGCTGGGCGGCCGCCCCCTCTTTGCCCCTCTCCGCGGCTCATCCTACCAGCCGCAAGCAGGTGTTCACCGTGAGCCTCCTGGCTCCCGGAGGTCCTGCGCCTGGTCCTCTTCCCCGTGGTCCTAGGGCGGGGGCTGGATCTCGGCTTTTCTGGTCACCGAACCTCGAGATGGGGCTTCGGGATCCCTGCTCCCGACTCCCTGGCGCTCAGCACAAACTTTCCAGACCGCGACAACCGGTGGCTGCAGTGGTGGCCGTGGCTGCAAAAGGAGGGGGAGCAGGAGGAGGAGACGTCCCTAGGGGCCGCCTCCCCCCTACTCCACCCGGATAGCGTCACCCGCCAGGCGGCTCCTGAAGTCCGAGACCCCAGTCCCAGACCCTCTGCTGCCAGATCCCCCTGAGTCTCTGCGAGCAAACTCTTAAGTTTTTCCCCTAACCAGAGCCAGGGGTGATGGAAATGTGGGTGCGAGGGCGCCTGTGGAGGAGGAATGATATGTTCGGGGTATTATTAATCATTCATTCAATCACCTCCTCCGGGGCCATCTTCCTACCGCTGCTCTCTGATCATTAGCTCTTCCCAGGGGGTCTGGCCTGATTTGCTGTTTGAAATTCTGGAAGAAGCTGACCCCTTACTAATCAGCAGCCACTGCTAGTGAATGACGAGGAGTAATTATGAACCCCTGCTGACCACACCATAGCTCAAACAGAGGTGATGGAGAACGAATGGGGTGGGCGTGGGAGAGAAGCAGAAGTGGGACTAGAGTCCTGCTGGATGATGGTGAGGGGCACAGGATGGCCGGTGGGTGGACATAAACCCCTAGGAAAACGAGCTGCTTCCTAGTCCCCAGAATCCAGGGCTGGCCCCAAGTCCAATTGGGAAAGAGGCAAAATTTGTCTTAAAGCCTCTCTCCCTTACTCACTTCCTCCCTCCTCCATCTCTCTGTCTTTTTAACCCTCTTCACACTACATTCGACTTCAGGTGACCAAAGGTCTCATGATAATAACAATTGCAAGCCATCACGTTTATTCAGTCCTTTAAGATTTACCACTTTCACGGGTCTTATTTCGTTTACTTCTCACAAGACTTTAGGGAGGAAAACAGGATATTATTAGCTCCATTTTCATGGAAGGATAATGATAGAAGGGATCTTTAGAGGTCCTTATTTTACATTTAAGGAAACTGAGACCCAGACAGGTTAAATGCTTTGCCCAGGGTCACACAGATGATAAGGCCTATCTGGGATAGGACCTGGTGATGCAAGTATCATTAATTCCATTTTATCAAGGTGAAGAATGCAGGTGTTACTTTCACTTTACAAAGGGAGAAACTGAGGCTCAGATAAGGGAAATGACAAGCCCAGGGTTTGTCGTTAGCAGAGCCAAGGCTAGAATCCAGATCTTCTGGTTCTAAGTCTAGCAGGGGATTTGTTCTGTGAAGTTTGGATTCAGTTAAAGGGCCACACTTGAGGATCTAGAGGGCCACATGTAGCCTCAAGGCCACAGGTGCCCCACCCCTGGTCTAGCTTTTTCTTCACCCTGGACCCTCCTGGAAGTAAAGCCCCTCCATTGCATCTTTTATTTCACCAATTTCTAAGGTTACTTTCCCCTCTTGTTGTACCTGATTCAAAGCAAAGAGGAGTTTTTGGTTGCCAGGTCATGGATATGCTCTACTCTCTACCCCTCCCTCCTCTACTACCCATTCTTGGCCTCTTTATCTGGCTACTGTTGATCTAATAGTCTTCCAATGCATTATAGGCTTTGGTCTTTGAGAGCTCCCTTCCTTCTGCATCATTGGTCCCTCTCCAGGATGTGGAGTGGAACCAGGCAAGAGAATGAAGCTGTCTGGGAATGGCTGAGAGGAGATCACAGTGCCTTCTCGCCAACTTTTTGTGAGATGCCTTAAGTCATTTAACCTCTCTGAGCCTCAGTGTCCTCATCTGTAAAATAAGGTTGAACTCAATGACTTCTAAGGGACTTTCTAATTCTAACATTCTATAAGTCTATGATCTACTCTCATGAATGACCTACTCTCACAAAAGGCTGTGCCTGAGTCTTGTGGACACATTCCTCTTTGCTTTTCACAGGGTTTGAGATCTGTGTATCTTGGCCTAAAAGCTATTCAGCAGTCATAGGTCAGAGAGTAAAGGTCAGAAAATCCTGCCTGCATAAGAGTGGATATTTTGGCATGGTAGGGAGGTAAGGCCAGGCTTGTTGAATTCTATTCAATTCATCAAGTCAATTCAACTGAACAAACTTTTAAAACAAATCTTATTTTTATTGATATATTTTGTTTCTACATCACCTTCTTTTCCATATATCTATCTTCTTCCTTCTCAATGAGTCGTCCCTTACAACAAAGAGTAAAAAAGAAAGAAAGAAAGAAAACAGTTTGGCAAAGCTAACCAGCAAATAAATCAGGAATAACAGTATGTCCAGTGTTCTACATCAATATTCCCTCACCTCTGGGAAGAGGTGAGGGAGGTGAGAGGGATGTGAGTCTGCAGCATCCCACTCCAGGCATTGCTTCACTCATAACCTGAGTGAAGAGGGTGGCACAGAAAAAAAAAAAAGATGGGTTACAAAGGAGATAACAAAGAAATTGGTTAAGAGGGAGCTCAGACCTGGTACTTTAGAAGGCTTAACCCTCATGAGGGACACAGAGAATAAGGAAGGACTAAATCAAGGTACAGACCATAAACCAGAAAATAAAATTTAGAATAAACTGGAAGGGAAGAGAAATAATGAAGAGACTAGCAAAGAAAAATTTGGAAAAAGGTGCAATAACTTTGAAAGACTTAAGTCTGAACAATATAATCAGCAACTACTATAGTAGAGGATAGATGAGGAAGTATCTATTCACCTGCTATCAGAGACATATGAAGGACTGAAAATACAGAATAAAACATACATTTTTAGTCATGAACAATGTGAGATTTTGTTTTGCTTGACTACGCAAATATATTTGTTATAAGAGTTTTGCTTTTCTTTTTTTCAATTTTGGGAGGATGGGAGGGAAAGAGGGCTAGAGCTAAGGTTGTCTCCCCCCCCCCAAAAAAAAGACAATAAAAGAAGAGCATCACTGAAACATTTTTTAAAATCTATAGAAAATAATAGAAGGAAAGACAAAACAGACAAGTAGAACAGCTTTGAGAAATATATGTTGAATGTATGATATAATTGAAAAGGAAAGGAAGCTATACGTAATAGGGATTCACATTTTCATTTACAATTCTCATTTTGTTCTACTATGGATATGGAAATGCAAATTTTATTTGGTGTTTATTAAGTTCAGAATTTTTAAAGGAATTTTTTTAAAAGAAAAAAGAGAAAATTAATAAGCATAAGAAATTGGAGGGAAAATTCTGAAGTAACCATTTACCTGAGTGGGAAAATAGAAGGGACAAAAGAGGGGGAGAAATAGATTATTAAATAAAGAAAATAAAGAAAAAAATTAACAATTTAAGTAAAGTCCAAGAAAGAGTAAGTAAATCACAGTGGGGGAGGAGGAGAAAGCCTGTGGAAATAGATTAGTGCCAAAGCAGTTTAAATACAACTAATCCAGGGACAAAGTGCTGATTTAAAAGAGGAAGGAGATTCTTTTTTTTTTTAAAGCAAAACTAAAGAAACAAATGGAAGAAAACACAAGTATTACTTTAAGTGTGAATGGATTAAACAATCCAATAAAAGGGAATAGCGTGACAGAATGTATAAGAAAATTAATTCCAACGATCTATATGTAAACATGAAACACATTTAAAAAAATAAAAACATATATAGAATGAAAATGAAAGGCTAGACCAAAATTTACCCTCCATTAGAGGAATTGTTTTCTTCTTTCTAAAAATTAATTTATTTCTAGTTTTCAACATTCACTTCCATAAGATTTTGAGTTTTAAATTTTCTCCCCCTCCCTGAATTTTTTTTTTAAAGCAAGAGTTATCATCTTGTATCAGACCAAAATAAAAATAAAATATCATAACTTTACCCCACGGCCAACCTTGGTCATTGTAATTAACAACATTCAGTTTCTCTTCTTTCTTTTTTTGTTCTTGCTATTTCTTTGACAAAAGGTCTTTCCTTCATATTCCGTTAATAGGGTTCTTTACAAACCCTGCTACGAATTTTCTTCCTGGAACTCTGTGAGCAAATGAGAATAGGAATATGTCAAATGTGCCTAGATACATCTGCCTGCCAGGTGTTCTCATCACTTTCCACCCTTGATTCTCCCTACCTTTAGTACTGTCCCCCGCTGTAACAATCAGCTTCCTGTTTTTTTCCAATCACAGAAGCATAGAGCCATACAAGTCCTATCTCCTCAGTAGAATGTAAGACTGCTTTGTTTTGTCTTTATACTTCCATAGTCTAGCACAGTGTTTTGGCATAATAGGTACTTAATAAATATTTGTTGAATTGGACTGAAACATAAAACTATAGAAAAAGACCCTTCAGAGCTAGAAGGGCTATTAAAGACTAATTAGTTCATCTCTCTCTTCTTATAGGTGAGGAGAGAGAAGTAATGCATCAAGGAGACTGGAGATATAGTTTGGGAGCAGGTGGTAAAGAAATTTAAAAGCTAAACAGAGGCATCATTCATATATTATAATAGAAGCAATAGGGAGTCATTTAAGTTTACTGAGTAGAGAAGTGACCTAGTCAGATCTGTGCTTAAGGAAAATCATTTTGGCAGCTTTGTGAAAGATGGATTAAAGTGGGGAGAAGCTTGAGAAAAGAAGACAAGCTAGGCTTCCACCATTGCAATATTCTAGGTGAGAGGGAATGAGGGTCTGAACTAGAGTGGCTATGTGAGTACAGAGAAGGGGTCTGATTGAGAGAAGTTATGGAGGTAGAAATAGCAAGGTTTGGTAACAGATTGGCTATATGGGTAAGGAAGAATGAGGAGGTGAGAATGATGTTGAGGTAACAAACCTGAGGGACTGGAAGAAGGGTGGGGTCTTCGACAGAATAGCTAGGTTTGGAAGAGTGTTAGGAATTGGTGGGTGGAGAATGAATGAATGAAAAAACATTTATTAAGTGCTTTCTATGTACAAAGCTCAATGCTTTGTAAAGGGGATAAAAAAGAAAAGGAGAACAGTACCTGCTTTCAAGGAGCTTATATTCTAATGGGGGGGGGAGACACATATAGGAGGTTTCCACTGCAAATCAGAGGGAAAAGCTCAGTGGACCTTAGGTCGCAAAGCAGATGTTAATTCTTCTTCTTCTTCTTCTTCTTCTTCTTCTTCTTCTTCTTCTTCTT